ACATCTTTATCAATAGTGGCTAGCCGGGTATTCGAAGGCACATAGGCACACTCTGGTGCGCTCTATTTCAAGCAAAATGCCGCTTCCTACGCCCAGCTGCATTCTCAGGAAGAAATAGACCCTCCAAACCCATAGAACCCTTACATTAATCATTATACTACTTCTACTGTGTGATTTGTTTCCAGCAAAAGATATCAGAACGTCATCCTGTGACACCATCGATGAGGCCCTTGGCATCGAAGAGGCCAAGTTGTTAGAGCAGTCATCTATCTTGCACTCGATCAGGCCGGTCTCCCTTTGCCATACTTGGATTGTATTAAGGAGAGCCACAGCAAAAACGAACACATCTTCCTCAAAACGGGGATGTCACAGGGCAACAAAGAAGAAAATGATCATCCGAAGTTGAATGGGGAAGAACTGGATACCCCCGACGACCAGTCGCAATGTCGGTGTCGCCACAGCTCAAGTCACCATCCCGTTTGGGCTCCTGCCCCACATCCAACAAGAAGGTAGGGACTGACACCCTCCTGGCACCCACCCACCCCAGTCCACCTTCTTGTCGGATGTGGGAAAGGAGCCCAAAGGGGTCTAGTCTAGTCCATTATATATACCCTAGGGCTCCAACCATATCCTCAAAGGTGGTTAGATCCCCCAAACCCAGGGCAACCAGCTTCTCAGGAGGTGGTTGGAGCTCTAGGGATAGGAATCGCTGTCTTGGCAGAAATCAATTCCTTTTTCGAAGATCTAAGGCAGGCAGTCCTAGGCACCGAGTTGTCTGGAACCAATTCCAACAGAATGCTCTTCTGCCGGTCGGCGGCAGCTTTCCTCAGCTGGCGTCACTGGGGTCATGGGCACAAACAGTTGGATGATCCAGGTAGCAACATGCCAGCTTCTTCCATTCTTCAAATCTGACCAACCCTTGGAGTCCCTAAGACCTTCTATAGTGGTCTCAAACCAGGGGCTCAAATTCTGTCACTTTGAAGAACCTGGTGCCTTACTGTGCAACGGCGCCCAAAGCGCTACCCCCTGAAACACAGAAGCGGGCGCGCCCCCCCCGCTCCGCCAAGCTCGCGCCGCGGGGTGCGCGGCCGAGCAGCAGCTTCTCGCAGGACTCGTCGACGCTGGTGAGCGCGGTGTCGATGATGGAGACCAAGGCGTCCGTCATGCCGCCCGCCGCCGAGACGATGGCCGCGGTGGGAGCGTCCCTGGAGGGTGGAGGTGCAGGGTGAGGAGAAGGTGGTGAAGTGGAGGGGGAGCTGCCAGCTGGCTCTGTAAAGGCCGTGGGGATGGTACGAATGCCTATAGATTATATATATTTACAGTGGGTGGGCCCATGGGTTTATGATGGTTTATGTCTCTCAACTTGTACTATGACCCCCGGTTTCAGCTCAGAAGCTCTGGTTGAGAACTTCCAGGGTTCAGGGACCGGTTTCACCTTATACATTCATCCTCTCAACACTACTACCCCCTCTTGTCTCGAGTGACTGGCAAGAATGGTGCCCAGACCATCCATAGGACTGTTATATATTTAAACCCTCGACGGTTGACCTGGTTTTTGTAGTGTCACATCCTTAGTTGATTCGGGATTCAGCCTATTAAATTAATGGTTGTTGGAAGCCTAGGGATAACTACCGACACATCGACCCCGAAAACTTTTAAGATCAGCAAATCACCCCTGGCCGAGAAACTCGGCCAATGTTCGAGTCTCATGGATTGTTAGGGGTTGTACTAGTAAGGGGTTGGGGAACTCCTTGTAGCTCCTCGGCTCCCTGTTGGGGAATATGGATGCCCCTGGCTCCTGTCGCTCCCTCCTGAGCAAAAGCTATAGTGTATGTTTTGTGATTGCGGTGCCTGCCAGCCTTCCGATCCGATCTATTACTAGCATGTGACCAAGAATCCCTTGGTTCTTGGACTCTGAGAGCAGCAAGTCGCCACAAATCTTGTAAAGCTTGGCATCGTCCAGGGAGGCACCGCCAAACTTGTGGACACCCCATTTCAGATCCTCAGTTTTCAGACTGCAAGGTCACCTATAGCCTCCAGCCTATATAATAGGTGTCTTTTTCAGGGGTCATGCTGCGACACAAAAAGAACATAACAACTAGGGGGGGATTCCTGGATTCCCCAACACTTCCCTCATGTTGATGGTGATGACCCTGTCGTAGTCAACTGCCGCAACAACATGTCATCTTGGGTGAGCCCCAAGATAGAAACACAAGAACACAGGTTCGTGAACACATAGAACATCATAGAACACAGATGATCGAACAGCTGTTACCTCAAATGGTGGCCTATGACTCTGCATTGACCTGCATCTGCCCCTGGAGTCGACCTGTTCGTACCTCGGAAAATGGATACAAGTACCTGTTTCTATAGGGTCATGCCCCATTTTCTAAGGTACGCTTAGCTACCTATGATCCTTCAAAAGCACGGAGGCCATACACCAGCACCCCCGTGTGAAGTGGTTTATGGACACCCCCGGTGTGGCCGGGCCATCGTTCGATAGAGGCTCGCTGGTATGGGCACTGCGGACCTGCGACATCTCCAGGGTGGCACTTCTCCAGTGCAAACAGTCACTGAACTTGCACCCAGTTCAGAAAAACACTCCGAACTCCGGATTTTCCACTAAGGTTCAGTGTCCATCGACGTGCAGTACGCCACAGAACTTCGCAACTCTTCTTTTTAGGGAGAAGTCACGTAATCTATATCGTCTTATGGAGGTCCCAGCCTCAGTCTAGCCTGGCAAGTGCAGTGCAATTGATCGATGGTTACTTCCCTGCCCCGGTCAACAGGGAGATCCGGCCATCTGAAACACTTGGTCGAGCAGCGTATTTCTTCCATGCTGACTTCGACCTCGGCGGAGGCTTTCGCCCCCCCCGTATCGACGTGTCGACGCGTGAGACCCGTTTGCCCACACTTGGTTCGCCCCCTCCACGAACCAGTCTGGACATCAAGACTCGTCGTGCTCATGAACATTGCACACCGGCACACCTGCTTTCTTGCCCAGGCGCTCCAAACAGCCCTTGGTCCCTCAAAACCTAGGGGTTTGAGACCCCAGACCCCTCCATATGAGGGCCCAGGGTCGCGTCTGGGTGATCTTTTTTTGGAAGTCCTGAGGAAGATGGACACCATCGGATTGAGAGGAAACCATGATTTTTGGAGACTAACAGTCTCACGGCAGGCGAACCCCGAAGCTTCCAAGCCACTCCGTGGCCTTTTGCGTCGGGGCATCCGTCGCCACCACCCGGCGGGCGGTGGACCCGCGGGTCGTGCGCCGGCGGGGCGCTTGCCTGGCACCAGCCACCACGGTGGCGGCAACAGCAAAGGCCTCAGGAGCCAATGACTTGGATTTGCTCAAGGAACCTGCCAAGAAAACATATTCACCAAAAGGAGATTTAACCATGATGTAACGTGATGTAACCATAGGGAAATAAAGAATAACCTTGAGCAAAACGAGGATCAACAGCTTGGATGTGTGAATTCAACCGGCTCCAGGCGGAAAATGGAACTTTCCGGGCGACCCTGAAACGACCCCCTCCTGGGCCAAAACCTGCAGGTGAGCTGGAATTTTGGAAGGAGTGTTGAACAATTCGAGCTGCCACCCTCAAGTGGCTTCTTGAATGCTATTGAGTTGTGGCGCTGGTCGGTTCCAGCCAAAACTCATCATCCCTTCATGACTCCTGGCAGCAATCCCAAAGAATATACTTGCCCAACCCCGACCGCTCAAAAAATGACTTGCTGTAGAACTTGGATATATCATTATCTCATATATAAATCCCATTGCCAGGGCCCAGTTCATAATGAGGGTTAGTAATTAGTTAGTAATTAAAGGCCTTTCTCAAAAAAGAATGAACGAGCGATATACCAGGACCCTCCAAGGGGTGTCCAATGGACTACCCCACACTACCTATAGGCTTCCAAACAGGGCACCCCTTGTATAATCCTTTACGGACTACTGGGCCGCGCCCTGTGACTCCCCGGCGCGCGCGCTGAGGCCTTGGCATCTCCTACAATATCAATTACCCGAGCTGATTGAATAGCAACATCTGCGCGCGCAAACCTCCGCCTCCCTTCGCTTTTCTGAGGGTTTTAGAGTGAGTATAGCTGGTTCTGCAAGTGGCCAGTTGTCACAATCTACAAGTGCACCAACCAGGCCAGTAGCCCAAGAGTTGCTTTCAAAACTGGCAACCAATGAAAACCAAACCAGCTTCCGTTGTGCACCCTGCCCTTCTTTGCTTTTGGGCGCTGGACCCCCCCTCTTCATCTTCAGCCCGTTTGTCTTGCTGTTTCACCTAGTCGCAGCTGCCATCTGCCGCCCATCTGCCGTGGACCTCCCTCGGCACAGCGCGGCGCCACTCGCGCGTGCGAGGCCCGCTACAGCCACCCGCGTCGCAGGCGCGGGCGCCGCGCAGGGCGCGGCGAAGGCGATGGAGGACATGGCGATGGTAAAACCGGCTGCACAGCTGGTTTTTTGGGGGGGCCTTCAGCTTTTGAGCCACAAGGGGCTGCAGGATGGCTGGCGACATGTCTGGGTGGCAGTGGCAGGTTGTGTTTTCTCCACGGTTGTCATAACACATAGCCATAGCGAAAACATGCAAAAACCAGGTGCATAACCACTTGTTCAAGAACCAACACACACACACACAAACCTATACACGTTGAGGGCAAAGAAGGCCCCAACACCACCAGACATGGAGGATCATGCCCTCCAACCAAGAGAGGCTGCTGGCTATACATCCCACATAGTACAGGAGCCCCTTCCAAAAGCAGTCCCGAATAGAGAGTGAAACACACTCCCCTTTCAGAACTCATTGGCTCAAATCACGACTGATGGCGAGGACTGAAGCCAACCCCTCATGGCCAACCCCTCAGTGAACTCAACCACCACCGGTGGTTCTAAAGGACTGAGCCACCGATGTCACCGAGGACGTCGAACGAGCCAGCGCCAGCGCCCGATCCCGGTCACCAATGTCATGGCGTTCCATTGGATCGGTCGTCTCCGCCTGGAAGAGAAGACAAAGCCACAGCACTGGAGAGCTCCACAGGGCGGAACTCTTCGCCTGGAAGTGGAAGAAGGAACAGGACCACTGAGACCGCTGGGACCGCTGTAGCGATGGCGAGTTGTGCGAATCGAAAAGGCATCCCTATATCTTCTTTGAGGCCTTCAGATCGACCGTTCTTCGGCTGACCTGGTCCGGTAGTGCCACATTGTTGTGAGAGAAACAACCACTTACTATGGTTGTTCAGTAAAACCCCCATAAGTATATGGTGCATCGAATCCTAGAGAATCTTTTACAATGGTCATCTGGTCCATCTCAGGTGGAAATATGGGCATTCCTCCTTCCTTACCTCATGAGAGCTCCTGTTGAGATATAACCTGACTTGCGAAGACGAATCGGATGCTTCGCTGTGGCTTCAGTGTAGCCTCCCCTCCGCATGCCTGAGCCTGTTCCAGATCGGCCGACGCCACCTGAGGCGCGGTGTTCGACGGAAGCAGAACGGCATGCCAGCCATCAACATGCATCAACCACGTGGCCCAGGATGTTGCGGAAGACCCAATTCTTCAAGAATGTATAGGAAGTTGCCAACAAAAAAAATGTCTGAAATTATTAAGATGTTGCAAGATCTGTGTGACCATTGGAGCAGTGAATGGAAGTGAACGTGCCCTGGAAGTGGAAGTCACTCAAGCTCCTAGGAGGGTGTGAATTCGGTGGGATAGGTGCAATGGCCTCGGCTTAAGAACGAAAATCGATACGACCGCAAGCCCTGTGGAAGAACAAAGAGAATGCTTTACAATAGTGTACGGTTAGCCTTGAACTATACCAATCAGTCAGCCATCATAGGTGTCGTTGTGTTTTTCATTGTTCTTCTCCTCAAGCCCGGAGCACCAGCCTCTGGCAGTCGTGGTGTGTCCTCCAAACATCCTCAGTATAGAGGTTGCGTGCGTGGTGCACACCGCAAATCATAGCAATTTGGATTCACCTTGAGATGAGCATTGGAGTATTGACCAAATGCTCCAAAAACCTACTGAGCATGCAGCATAAGCGATCAACCCAAAGCAACCTGCCTCTCCAGGTCTACATGGCCATATACATGGCAAAGGAAGGCCTCTTTATCGCATCACTGTTTCTTCATCTGACCCCTCCAGTTTCTAAGGTTCACCTCTTTTCACCTGTTCCACGCATTCAGAAGAGACTATATAGACTCTGAACGACTCTGGATCAAGAGGTCTCTGTTCATGCTCAGTGGGGGCACGCCCTTTGAGCCGCTAGCCTTTCTGCATCGCATCGCACCTGCGTTCTTTTCGCGCCGTCCCTTCTCAGAACGCCCGTGGCGTGGCGTGCGTGTGGCGACACGCCTTCTCTCGGGGCAGCGGCGAGCCAGTGGGGAGGCGACTGGGGCAGCGGCGAGCAGGGACTAGAGGTTTTGCTTGAAGAGAGTCATCATCGACCTAAATGTGCTTGAAGAGAGGCATTGCTTTGAAAAAAGAGACTCCACCAGCATGAAGAAAAAACACATAAAAAATCCTCAAACAATGTGACATTGCTTCTAAAAGTTTTGAGGACCACTATTGAATTGAGATTGTTATTACATATGTCGCGCATGTGATCCTGAACCTCAGAAATTCCAAAGATCTGGGAACAAGACTTGTTTCACATTCTTCAGCAGTCCCTAAGTATATCTCCATGCTCCTTTTAGGGTTTCCAGGTTGGAAAACGTGCCAAAGGCCATGCCAAGGCGACTCAAATCCATATTTCACCGCCTCCATGGTCTCCGGCTTCAGGGTATCACCGCGAGTCATGTAGCCATGCATCCTTAGACGGGCTCTGGGGCTCTCTGGGACGTCTTTCTAGGGCCAAAGTTGAACAAAGACTGGAAGATTCTGTCCAAAAGCAAGGCTGAAGGCCTCGTGGACCACACAATAATACTTTCAAATGCTTTGAGTGTGGGTCATCTTCTTGGACCTATATACACTCGAGGATTTACAGTTTTTATAATCAAACACTGATCCTGCGTCTAAGGATCGCATTGTCCTGCAGGTGCCAAGTGACTTTCCCAGGGAGCGCCATTTCACAGGCCTTGTGGGCCTCTCCTTAGATTTTCATCAGGAGCCGCACGAAGGGAATTGGATCGGTGATGATCTGTGTATCATGATCCCTGGGCACCTACGGTCACTAATTCTGGACGGTTTTGGCTCGGAAAAATGAAACCTTTTGCATCCACATCCGAGCTTTTTCAGGGCTGGGTTGAGGGCGCCCGGTTTTGGACGAAGGCTGGGGTCTTTGGTAGCCTACTGTATGTAAGCCTGCCAAGCTCAGGTGGAATGAACGCATGCAGGTCATGCAGGAGAATGTCCAAAGAAAGCTCTTCGTCTCAAAAATCCTGCCCATCACCATGACTTCTGAAGCGAAGATCCATTTGGCCGCCACTTCTCAGATTCGCTCTTCGTGGCAATCATCAGCTGTGGACACTTGATGCTTCGGCAGACCTCCACCCGGGTTGGGAGACCTCTGGCTTACTTGTCAAGTCCGAAGCATGATGCCCCATGCCTGGGACCTGGTGGCTTACCATCCAAAACGGAGTGGTCAAAGCAATTTCAAGCCCATGAAGTGGAACTTTAGGGGCTCCTCCCACTTGGGCTTTCAAGGAACCACTCACTAGCTAGCTGGCATTCACCACATCAAACACGTGACCCACCTCAATTCCAGGTGGTTTCTGGCACCCTCCAGTCATTGGTTCCTCTGTCCTCCAAATGCGGATCCAAAAGCCCTCAGCATCCCTCAGCTACATGATTCCAGGTCACCAAAACATGCACCTTCTCGGCTCCAACTGGACGAACTGCACCCCGCCCGAACTTCACTTCCGATCAAGCCCTTCAGACCGACCTCTAAGTCATCCTCCCCGGTGTTCTTGCAGAAGCCCTCGGTGGATGGGTGAAAACCTGCGCAGCACTTGAATTCCTCAGCTCGACTGCAGGACGGACTGGACGACTGGCCCCGGTGGGTTGGGAGCGGACGAACTGGCAGGTCGCGCCTTTGACAAGACTTCCCCGCCCCGCAAACGGACCATGTCAGTCAAAACTTTGTGGGTTTCGACCAGAAACTCTGAAGACCAAGACATGTGGGTTTGGGTTCCATTCACGTGGCCCTCAAGGGGGAGACTCTTCAGCCACAATCTCGGCCTGACACTGTCGTCGAGGAAGTGGAGCTGTGCATTGACTAACTTGCCAACAAAAGCAGGCAAGTGGCTCCGTTTTCGTGAAAACAACATGGCACCCGTAGTCTTCAGCCACTCCAAACTCCACTCTCTTGTCACCAATGTATACCAATGTCATGTTACTTCCACAGAATCACCAGAACGTTCTCAGTTCTTCATGATCTCCATCCAGCAGAGGTTGAAGAACCCGAACGTTTGGCTATCCTATATAGGTACCCCAGGTTTTCCGGGTCCTATTTACGGTCCCTTAACCGTCCCTGACTCTGTCCATGATCTCCATGTCCTCAGTTCTCCGAATTCGCAACCGCCCAGGGGACCTCGCGCCGAGCCCAAGCGTCGGGGTATGCGGCACACTTCATGGCGCCGTAGGTGCCCCAGCAAAAGCCCACTGCGGCGAAACTGGACACTCCCTTCATCTTCCTCCGGGCCAACGCACTCCACGCGCGCCCGGCGCGCCCGGAGAAGTAGAGTGGTGTTCGGCCCGGATTGGGTGTCTAAGAGTGGTCTTTGTGGAGTGGAGAAGAACAGCTGGTAAGGCGACAAGGGGGTTCCCAGCTTATTAGAAGGTGTTGTTCCACGCATTTTACTCGAAATTTTGTGAGGTCTTGCTCCAGTCTGGTGAGCCGTGTGGGAGCAGTTGTGTGGTTGGCACTGAGTTGGCACCTGGAAGTTCAAGTGCTGCTGCCAAGTTTCATCCAGGGAACCAGTTCGCCCATCACCTTCTGCTTCCTGAGGACGACGGGAAGCTGGACATCAACATCGCGCGATGTTGAGTGCAAGCTGGAGATACAACTAAATGCAAATAGTGAGGCATGACTTTAAAGTTCTTGGAAGTTACTAAGTGATCAACCAACAAATGTCCTCAAGATCGGACTTCCGGCGCCACCCCATAACAAAGCAGCTCAGCCACATGTAGGTCTCCCACGCGAAGCTCTTGGTCTTCCGGCCAAAGTTCCCAGAAAAGAATTTGAACAAGAACTCCGCTGCACAGCAGTAGTTCATGCCGAAGCCTGGTTTGCAGGTGGGATTCTGCCATTTGGTCTGCACCAGGGGCATGGCTTGGGCATCCGGCCCTAGGGTTCCAAGTACCTTCTCAAAAGGTTTTTGGACCCTCCAAACACACCCCAAACACCTCAGAAGGCACCTGGAGTCTCAAAGTACCTGGAAAAATTGGTATAACGTATCTGTTCGTTTGTGGGGTCATGTCACATGTTCCCTTTTCTAGGGTACTTTGGAGGGTCCAGGTACTTGGAACCCTTGGGTATGAAAATCATGAGGAATAATTCAAAAGGTCTTATACTAGTTATATTATATATATGTTTAGGTGACTAGGTGTATCTCATTACCAGTCACAGTGGATGATGATGGTTCGGTTGCAGGTGGGCATCTCCAAACAAATGCGGTGACTGGTTTACTGGGCCACATCTCCTGGAGACTGCCACCAGCGTTTGCCTTTGTGCGAGCGGGGAGACGTTCTCGAAGGAAGCGACGGATGACGGCTCTCCCCAAGAGTCATATAGGCAGCCCTTGGGCATTTACGGGCGGTCAACCCCACCAGATTCATAGGCAAATACTCAAGGGCTACTTCAAGGGCTGTTATATAGCAGCTAGTACTTCTGAGCCTGGGATAGAACCATTAAAACACTGTCAAAGGCTCAGTCCCAGTGGCTGGGAGTGCTCAAGCTGCTCATGTAGGGCCTCTCGCCAATGAAGTCCGGACAAACCGCCAAATATCCGTTTCCTCGGCGGAGGATGAGGGCATTCTTTCACTTCCACGCGTGTCAAGTGAATGGATGGCGAAGTCTTTGTTTGCGGAAGCCCCTCGGTTGCGATAGATTTGGGGGAACTTGTTTTCGTCCTTTATCCTTGGCTTGCTTGGTGAGATTAGCCCTTTGAATATTGAGTGCACCAAGTCTCCGGCCAGCATATCGCAGAACTGCTTATGCCGACCTCAATCAAGGGCCGGAGGGTGTAACAGCACCCTCCTTGGTCGTTTTCATGTGGTTCTGACGGTTCTGATCATGATTTGGCCCGTGTCTGAGCCTAAACCTTCCGGTTGAGGTCACCTGGGCAAAACAACAAGACACCTTAGACTTATCCAACAGTAAGTAGGACCATCCTGCAGGGCACCCCAACAGGAAAGTCTAGTGGTGTTTCTCATTGCTCTCCTTTCTTTGGCACCATTGGTCCGCACTAGCTCAAACATGCTCAAACTAACACCTATGATAGCCTACCCGCAAATTCCTTTCACATACAATTGAATACCGTGAGTTAGCAATGGGATGGGGCCCCTTTGCCAAACATTATCCACTGCTTCTCTATCAGCAAGGAATGAGCCACGACAAAAACAACAAAAGCAAGGTCTTGTGCAAATGGGAGCTGGCCGGTGTTGACTCCGAACATGTCCTTGGATGCATCGGCTTGGTACGGCTTGGTGTGTGACACGGACACCACTTTTTAGAACCTATTATTGGATGAAAAACCTTAAAGATCTCTCCACTAGCACGCTGTTGATGTGCAATAGTTTGTCTACGCAGCAGGAAAGTCACACTTGGGCTTTCCTTCAGTCCCTTAGCCTCAGTCGGCTGCAAATCTGAGGTCAACACTTCCCGCTTGCAAAGACTTCAAGCAACTCCATCCGGGTGTTCCTTTAGACCCCACAACCACCCGAGCATTGGCCCGAGCATCACACTTCCTGCAAGTTATGGAGGTTGGGATTAGAAGTAGGTCAACCACATGACAAGTGCACATATAGAGTATCATAGAATATGTACCAAAGCAAACCCTAGGGCTCCAAGTACCTTCAGAAGGTGTTTGGGGTGGGTTGGGAGTGAGTGTCAAAATACCTTCTGAGGAGGCACGACTGGAGCGCTAGGGACACCAACAATCTGCTAAATCATGCTAAATCCAATCCCAGAAGCTGTGAACATGATGACACCCTGAGTGGCAGCAGCACTGGGCATGGCCACGTAGCAGTTCAGGGACTGAATCTTGGTCATCTCCTGGGGCAATCAGTGGTCGTCAACGCTCCATGGCTGGAATCCACATCGACCCCTGTCAAAAGTGTCCCCCCATGTAGGTGAGACATCTGCCGTTCGTGGAGTTTTTGCAGGGTTGTTATGGATATGAAGGAGGGTTAAGGGGTGTCCTATGGAACATGCACAAGTAGTGTAGGCCTTTGGGCCTTTGCGTTGGAGAAAGCAACCCAGCCACTTCTTAGGACTGTAGAAACTATTGTAAGTGTGTACTGGACGTCTTTCAATGTGGGTACTGTTCTGAGCTCACCTCAAGTAACTCCAGTCGGGATTGATGGTGCCGTCCAGAAAATCCACCAGGTCAACCTTTTTTGTACTGAACCGGCTGATGCCTTCGGCAGGACCCCTGCATCTGCATCCGCCGAGGCACATGCTTCGGTTTGTAGTCCTTCATCTCTCGCAGTGGCTCGGCATCCGCCGGGCAGCACGAACACAAGGCCATCCCAAAACACGCAGCAGTACAGCGCGGTGCAGCGCGGCACACTGCTCGGACTGCGTGGGCGGGGCGTTGAGACTGGAAAATTGGAGCTTAAATCGGCTGCGGGTGATCTTCAACGGAGGCCCATTCACGGATTGCACCTCCTCTTCAACGGAGGCGAAGAAGAAACAATAGACAATGAATTGCTTGGGTGATCGATGGAGAGACTGTTGATCCAGCGATTGAGACATCCTCGTGCAACCAGGGCCCCCTGGCGGAAGCACAGCAGGAGCCCCACGATGTTGGCTAAGGCGATGGCCCAGCCTGAAAGGCGGGGAGACCAAGATTGATTGATGACCGGGAATGTTCCAAGCACAACGGTGTGGTGCAGCTCAGCCCCTCACCAGTTTCCGTCTACGTGATTTAAGCATATTCATATTCAATAAGTTTCAAGTACTTTAGAGTTCTTCCCCTAGTGGAGACATCAAAAGCATCGGTGTGGCGTTAGCGATGCCCAATGAAATAGGTAGCAATTTCTGCACCACATTCACCCTTCGAGGACAGCTGTCGAAACTTCTGGAGTTCCGTTCAAACTCATCTCCGGGAAAATGAGCACCACGGATCCAGGATATACAAATGTAAGCTTCATCTACCGGATCATGTTGGATTCCCACACAGGAAAACCCCCCCCAACCTGCACATATGAAACATCCCAAACTCACAGGCCTGGGGTTCTTCCGACAGGCCTAGGGTTCTTCCGACATCTTCCGACAGGCCTGGGGTTCTTCCGAACATTTCCTATCAACACCCAACCGCGAAAAGGGCACTACCTCCTTAAGCTTCAGCCCTGCGGCCTGCTGAGTTGAGCTCATTGAAGAGCCCCTCCTGCAGGGCCACTTTTTCCGCCCAGCGAAAAATCAATCCAAGGCCCCAAAAAGAGATCCACTGCCACCTTCTCAGAAGGTACCGGACTGTCTCTGTAAAAGTGCCGACTTTGCTCCAATCACCCGCTCGGAGGGTATATGGAGCCGTGGGGAAACAAATGGCCTTGAGCTGTGGAAAGTCTACCATTTGACCTACCAATTGGAGATCCTCCGCCCTTTCCGAACGAAAAGCTTGGATTCCATCACTCACTGCACTACGGGCTCGGAAGGGCTCGGAAGGGCTCCTTGGGCAGCACGCACAGCACCGTGCTGGAGAAGGGGCCAATGAAGGTCCCCAAGCTTCGCCAGGTGTTCAGCTGAACCTGAGCTGAACACGAGCGAACGACGCTGCGGGTATACCGAGGCGCCCCAACGAAGCGCTTCGTGAACGAAGCCATGCTTGGGATCCGTTCCATGGAACGCATAGCGGCCATGGCGGGTACGGTGTGCAGTTATACAGGCACCGAAAGAAAGGGTGAAAGAAAGGGTGGAATGCTCTAATTCTTCTGCGGGACCACAATGCCCTTGGGAAAGTGACACTTGAACATGAAATCCTGTTGACTAGAGGTCCAATTGAAGCTGTTGAGGGCCTGGTCATTGCAGGTCTGGAACACTCAGGCCTTGGTGCATTGCAGACCTTCACTACTCTTGCAGGACGAAATCCTCGCACACCGCGCCACCCCAAGCCCCAGAAACCTGATGCTCGTTGTCCCCTTCATCCCGACTTGTTCAGTAATTGGAGGTACTCAAGAATAGCGATGAATAAACATCCTTATCCTACTTCAACTACTATACTCCATACTACTCCAAACCCACCGTGGCCTCATGCAAACCTCCCCCCCATCTCCACCCAGGGTTCCCGGCCTGCGCCTGCGCCACCGCCTCGTGCCCTCGCAAGGCGCGGGCTGTCCAGGCGAAGAGCAACGGAGTGCAGGAGGCCCCCAGGCCACAAATGATCCGCGACCTCGATCGATCGCCCCGTTCCAGTCTGCTACCGGAACAGAACCCAAAGAATCCCAAAGAATCCCAATTGACCTCTGGTTTGATAGGAAGTTGTTGGACCATAATATGTTGGGAGGTTGGTGGTTTGATTCAACATAGAGGTCATTCAGGTTCTAGGTCTACATTCAAACTATGCCTGTAAACCACCGGTCCAAAATGGCGAGACTTTGCAGTCCGGGGTGTCCGGAGTGGATGGGTGCAGCATCCAATGCACAGATTCCCTAGCCTTTCGTTTGACAATGTGAAGAAGGAAGACGACGGACTTGGATGCAAGTCCAGTCTGTCCAACCAGGAATGTTTGGGATTTGCAGCATGAAATCACCAGCGGTTGGAATCCTAGAGTCTAGCCTAGCACTCTAGAGTAATTTCATGCCAAACTCCTCAGTGAATACACTGTGCAACTCTGCACAGGCTGCAACACAGCTCGATCATCGTGATGTATGTTTGCCTCATATTCGACACATCTCTTTGCTGCGGCCCGAGATGCATCAAGAGGAACCAAGCAGCCTCTGCCACTGCATAAAGGGCGCCTGGCCAAAGATCCATCAAAACCCTGTGCAGATTTGCTACCCTGCAAAATGAATCCGAAGGAGGCCTTGTGACAAAGAAACATATACTACCATATTTTGCCTTCAACAAGCTTGAATGTAATCTCCTTGGCATTAGCGCTCCCAGGTGACCAAGCGACCATGTCGAATCGCAAAAGAATTCTCAAAAGGAAACGCCCGCAAGTCGGTTGTTTTCGCAAACTCTGGACAAAGCAGCTGAAAACCGCATGCCAGTCATATGCCACCGTCTTTTTGTGGCAGCATCACACTATAGCATGCCAACGATGCGACCATGTTTCTCGTACGATGGGAGGTAGTTGTGGCACCTTCCTCTTCTCCTCACATGCTTGGGGATGTCTGGGCGTGCATGAGAAGCTCCGTGTCTCTCCTGGCATTGTCAAAGAAAGATTGGAGTCAAAGAGCATCGAAGTGGCCTATTCTCGCCAGTTCTGAGTCAGGTCATCCCACCTCTCTCGCAGCTGAAACCTGCCTTGTCTGACTAGGTTTGACCGGTGAGCTCGGGGTGGTGCAGAGTTCTCCAGCCGCAAGTTGTCTCTCACCGGACGCCGTGGTGGGCGTTCTTCCTGCTGCATGATGGCACAGCACTTGACAGCAGTGGCAATGTAACTCATCCAATATCATCCAACCTCACGCATCAGTGCCATGTATTGGCAAGACTCCCACGAAGTGCGGGGATGCCAAGGTGTAGAGTAGACTCCAGCTCCGGGGCATCCAAACTGACCAAATGCCATGCATATAAAGCTGTGTAGATATCAAGTGTCTACGTTGGAAGGTCATCAACCGCTCGTTCCCACCTCAGCTGGCCAAAGAAGAAGCTGCATAACGCAGGACATATGAGGCCGCGTGTTTATGGGAGCGGAGTCATTCAGTATAAACTACAGTGGTGATGGTGTCTGTTTGGGGAGGCCAGTGACTGTGAATGCCACTCAGCCACTCGAAGACTTGATTGTCTCCATCCAGTTCCGCCTTCCTCGGAGCGAAGGAGAACATGCGAACACCGGAAATGAATTGACAAAGACCTTCCTATGAAACCGAAAGCACAGGTGCCAGTCCCAAGTCGTGTATATAGATTGCTCCAAGATGCTTCAGCACTAGGCCTGGCACATCTTTCCAAGCTTCCAGTCGCTTCCTGAAGGCAAAGACACGTCAATAATGGCGAAGGTATCTCAGTGAATCTGAACTCATGTACCATTGAAGGCTTGTGTTTCCGAATGTTTCCGAAGATAGGTGGTGAACGGGATTACCATGACTGTTGATAGAAGATTGCTCCCGCAAAGCGCAACCCTATCGTACCCTAAGTCACTCAAAAGGGGGGCGCTTGAGTGTGTGATTGGCCTGGGGAACCGTGGGTTTCTGAATCCTTGTGGTGTAGGGCTTCAAGCACATCCTCAAAAAAGTAGTTACAGAGTCTCCCAAACCAACCCCAAACACCTTCTTCTTCTCAGGAAGCAATTGGAGCCCCAGAAGAATTCCATCAAAGCCACTCCAAGTTTGGTAGGTGATACCAGCGCTGCACATCTTCACCATCCGCACAACGCCAGGCGACCCAAAAGGCATCCTCGTCCTGACAGCGACGGCGACGGCGTTGGAACATCTCATACCCAGCTCCAGGAAAACCATGTCATCCACCTGGTTCTTCAGTTCGTGACCGAACTTCCATCCCCGGGCGACTTATATAAGTCTCAAACAGACCTGCAAGTTCGGTCACTTAGTGTGGGACTCTCAAGTAGGATGTTCACCGTTGGAGTATCCAAGTTAGGGTCACTTGGGGACTCGCACAAGGTCACTGGCGCTCCAGGATTTGCACCCTTGGAGGCTCCTAAGTCTTCAGCATTTTGGACCCGGGCAGAACTCGCAACGCTTCCCCTCCCCCATCAAAGACTCTCTGTGACTCCTCTGCCCGCCGGCCGCGCTTGGCCACTTGCCGCGCTCGGGGGTCCCAGGTGGACGCCAGCAAGCGACCACCTAACCACAGCGAGGATCACAATAGATGGTACACATCTAATGTATTCTGACATCATATCTAAATTTGCCAATCTAACTAGTCTGACGCAACTACGATGTGCTGTGCTTTGAGTATATCACATTCTCTGCAACAGTGGATGATGATGGTTAGTGAACAGGATAACACTTTTGTTAGTAATTAAAGGCCTTGGTCAAAAGACTTTAAACATAGTGATACTTGTGCACCGACTGTTGCAGGCAATAGGACTCCCCCAAGCTACGCTCAGCCGGCCGGATGGTCTACGCTCACCTGGCAGCAGCACACGGGACATCTCCCGCAAAGCGCACATGGTCTCGGTCAGGGGCAAATGGTGAAGAACTGCACCTCAGCGCACGTGTTGCCAACTGGGAGATCAATTCAATCGCAAACCACTCAAAGGGGCTGGGGGAGGCTTGGTGGTTATCTTGTGGAAAATCTGAATGCCAATCAGTCCTACAAGTCGGATGTTTAGATGAGTTTTCACACGCTGGCGCACCACTGGAAATGAGGCCCACACTCACACAAACCGTCCACAAAATACCTGTGAAGCATTTGGACACCCAATGGTCATGCTTAAATCTTTGGGAAGCCATGCGCAAATGCACAAACACAAAAAGCGTTCCAGTTGGGAAGTTCATGCTTTAGCGATGGCTCGACCTTGGTCCACATTCATACGGCCAAGTTCACCGGCTACCTCAATCTTGGATTTGCCTCAAAGGGCCGGGAGAAAGTTATTGAAACAATGCTTTCCCCCAGATGTCTCACAGGGTTCGTAAAAACCTCCACCCGATCCGAGAAAAAAAAAGGATCGGTATACGACCAGCTTGCCACCCCCGTCGGTCACGTCCGACCGTCACCAGCTTGCCGACCAGCGCACAGGAGAGCACGTCGTGCACCGAGGAAGCGGACAAAGGCAGCTGGCGCGTGTCAGCGTGGAGGAAGGTCACCTGACCTTGGCTATTCCGCGCCAGCGTTGCTTCCAGATTCCAGCAACATCCAGAAATCCTACTGGTCAAGAAACAACCAATAGGAAAATCCCAAGAATACCAGAGTGTGGTGGGGGAGTCACTCTTGCTGCAGATGTTCCTGCAGAATGAAGTCTAGATTCTACAGTAGATGCACAGCTCCTGTCGGGAACCGATGCTCCAACCTACTGTCATTGCAGGCAACCCCGTGAATTGGAGACGGAGTTAGTGGCTTGATCTGCACAAAGCTACTCATCAGCCCTCCCCCCTCCACATTCGTTTCCAAGCGTCTGGCCAGTTCAGGCCCCAAGCGCTTCCGGGCTGCTGTCAGCATACCCTGAGAGAGGTCCAGTGCATAGATTGGCCCATATCCTCAGTAGTGAAAAGGTCTAAGACAGCCAAATCCAATGCTGCCTCTTTGAAACTATAAGGTCGCAGAACCGATGTGACATGGCAATGCATGTTTCAAGCCAGCTTACAGGATCGATCTTTTTTCTTGTGTTCTCATCAACGTGAGCCTGCATGTTTATGTGTGTGGAATCTCACCGCATGAGCATTTTCAGATACAGTATATTTTGGTGCAATCTCATGGCTCTCAGGTCGAAAGAACTAATTGTGGATTAAACTGCTTCACAGTGACCTCTCAACGCAAGTACTTGGTGAGTTCTGTGGAGCTTAGTTGCCCCTCTATATCTTCAAGGCTGACAATAACAGTCCAAATCCCAAAACATCCGCCCCCCTTTCTCCCTTTCTTTACACCAACCTCATCCAACCTCATCACTCGAACCTGCCTCCCCATCAAAGCACATTCCAAGCAGCTGTCCGCCTCCAAAGCACTCACCACGTGCCGCCCATCGCCACACCCCGCCACCACCAGCTGCCGCGACGGCGGACGCCGCGGCGGAGCCGCGAGCCATTCGGCGACGAAGGGCCAGGGGAAGCGGCGGCTGGCGGCGAAGTTCTGCGAAATACGGTCCTTGGAAAGTGGTTGCAAAGAAGATCAGTAGGAATCAGTAGGAAAAAATCAGTGGGAATCAGTAGCAAGAAGATTCCTTGGAAAAGATTGAATAGGAATCACTGTGAAGATTGGTGGAAGAGTTGACCCATACTTGCTGCATGCAGTGAATCTGTCACGGTTTAAACCATGGTGTAAAGGAACATGTCAAGAGCACGGTGGGTTTGGTGAAGTTTGGTGGTCCAAAAAAATGTGCACAGGCCATCGACTTTGAGCCTGTGAGTGTCGCAAAAGCATTTCCCTTACGTTGCCAAAACAGGGGGGGTTGAAGGGACAGTTGACGGACAGGAATCCAGGCACCATATGGATTTGAAACTTACTTACCACTCAAACCGCCGACTGCACAGCTACACACACATATATTTATGTTGCATATTTCTTATTTGCTTTCAGGTCTCATAGGCCGCTTCCACGGTGCTCCATGGGGTGAAGCTCAAGGCACCCCAAGTGCCAACGAAGCAACAAGCACCGAGGGCACCGAGCACCGCGGGGTGCGTTCTCCGCGCGCGGCGCGCGCAACGAGGCGCTCGCAGCGCCATGGTTCGCTTGGAAAATGTTGCCGGGGGGTAATGTGGGCACTTCTTCTTCTTCTTCTTCTTCTGCTTTGTTGTTATGTTTCTTGTCTTGCTCCTTCTTTTTCCTGCTCTCTGCTTGTTTCTTTTTCCTGCTTGCTTATCCTGTTATGAAGAAATCTAGCGCCAACCTAGCGCCAATCTAGCGCTGCCTTGCTGTATCACCATAGTCTGCTGGGGGCCCACTTCTAAACGAAGACTTAAAAACACATCTCCAACCTTAAAAGTTTACTTACGTTTATCTATATTTTTGAGTAGGGCTTTTTGAGCGCAGTCCATATACAGTATAGAGGGAGAGACAGAGAGAGAGAGAGAGAACAAAAAATATCCGTGGTGACGCGTGGGTTTCAGAGTCTGGAAGTCGGCCTGTCCGATATATCCCTGGCTTCTGGCAAACCAATGAAGCAAGGCAAATCTGGATGGCCAATTCTGACCAGTGAAGTGCTGTGCACCGGACGCTTTCTTGAGATCCGCCAAGCGCTGGTACGTCCATGTGCAGGGCTGCCGTAGCCCATGAGTTTACGAGGACTGGATTAGATGTGCTTGCTTGGATTTGCTTAAGGAGCTGGGAAAATATACCCCAGAAGGGGGATTCACCCATAGGGCCATAGGGAAAACATACAACATAAGACCATTCCATACCCAGCATGATACATCAAGCAACACAGTTCCACGGTATCTCTCCAGTTCGTCCGTTTGCCCCCAACCTCCAAGGGCCGAGCAGGCCAAGCAGCTACAAAGCAGCACCTGCTCCAAGCAGCGGGGCTGGGCCCCACCGGAGTGCACAGCACCCCGCAGGGTCAGTCAAGTAAGAGTAGATGACCCAGCAGATTTGTTCACGCCAAATTGCCCCGAAAGTTCACTTGGACTGGAACTCTTTGAGGATGTTGTTACATGTCTCCTGGAGAACAACATCTTTGGCCATTCATCCGGTGACGTCATCTGTATGACAGGTGCGCCCAAGCCCAAGAGGTTATAAGATCCTGAATTCTTGTGATGCATAGGGTGCTGATAATGATTCATAGAAACTATAAAAATCCTTAAAAATACCCCAACATGTCATAGAAGAGCGGATCTCATGAGTGGATACCCGGCAATTCCGCGCCCGGCGACCCTGTCACAGCCAGTGAAGAGCGAACCAAACGGCAGTTTCCAACCGGCTCAAAGCACAGTTTTTCATGGCGCAAGCAGCTGGAAACGTCAGAGGCCAACGCCTGGCAGCAGCTCACAACAATCCAAATTTCTTGAAGGATTCTATTATTGTTAGACACTGGGAGTGGGAGCAGCCCTGCGAGGTACTTGATACGTGTTGCCCACCAAGTCTAGTTCTTACATTGGAGACTCGGAGACCAACTATGTGGACGTGTCTATGTTCCTGGGCTTGGGGCACTGGTAATGGATCCGCCTCAACCCCAAGTGTCGAAAGTACCTCACACTCACACAACCTTTATGCGAAAAGAAGCCCCTGGGATGGTGGATGCCTTGTTTCAAAGACCGATGAAACATCCCAATTCGTCCCAGGCTGGGATTTCCATCAAGTAGCATCTGTCTTGGGGGAGAGTGGAATCAAACCTTCCCTTCGACCACCCAGCAGCGTCGGACTTTGGGAGGCTCATTTCCCTGGCCGAACTATATAAGTCTGTGGCTTCTCCTTCTGGCATCCATGAGAGCTTGATCTTCATTTCCTCCGGGCTGTGTGATGCATATCACTCTGTCAACAGCTGCCACCATGTTTTGGGGGGGCGGCCGAGGCCAACATGCGTAAAGTATCAGACCCGCAATAATTGACACAAATACTATGCATTGGCATGTGAAAAAGCACGTTTCCAGCTCCTGCTGCTTCTGCTCTAACCGCACCCTGCAATCGTTGAGCTTCTTTGTGCGCTTGTCCAGCTCCTTGTCCTTGTGTTCTAACTGCACCCCGCAGTCATTCACCTCCCGCTTTCCAACCTTGCAATCTCTCAACAGTTTTTTGAAATTTGCGGTTTTGTTTTTTTCGTCCGCCACCTGAGTATTGTTCTTTTCCAGACGATCCTTGGAATTTTCCAGCTGATCTTTTGTGCTTTTCAGCTCGTCTTTACATGTCTGTAGGTTTTGCTCGGTTGCATTGTTCTCCTCACGTGTCTTGTCAAGCTGTAACTTTGTTTGATTCAGCTCTCGATTGAGCTGTGCATTTTCCTTTTGGAGCTCGGCCTCCAGCTGATTGCTGTTTCTGTCCAGCTCCTTTTCAACACCTTCCAGCTTCTGTGTCATGTGCTGACACCGATTCGACTCCCCTTGGCCATCTTCTGCACGATTCAGCTGTTGCTGCAAGTCACGAGGCAGCTGTTGGGTCTTCTCGGATGAGGCTGTTTCATCCTCTGCTTCGTTCCACAATTCCTCGTTGGCCTTGCCTTGCATCCTTGAGTCTTGTTGCACTTCCTTTAACTCCTGATTGTTGGCCAGCACCGTGACCGTGTCTCTGGAAGATTGCCACCACTGTGGCCACGGAGATACTGAGGCAAAATCATGAAACAAACTCAACGACACAATGATCAGGATCAACGACACAATGATCAGGATCAATTTGAGCAGGACACTATGCCTATTGCGTTTTGTTCTGAAGAAATTTGGCATCTTATCAAAGTCCTGCAAATGGTTGCTATAGTAGCAAGAGTCTTGCAGGGACAAGCGACTGCCAAAAGTCTTCATTTTTTCTGAACCTCAGCCAGTAAGCCGGACAGCTTTTCACAGCGATCAAGAGATTCCAGCAGGGCCAAGGAGAAACGCCCATTGTAAGAACCATCTTGGTTTCCATGTTCAAAAGCTCGGCCAGAAGGATTGCATGCATAGACCAGCAGGAGCTGCTTCTGCGAAAGGGTGCTGGGTCGGGTGACCGGATCGCAGCTAGAAATGTCCTGCCCTTCATCTACACGACAGCCGTCAATGAAAACAATGACTTGGGTCATCATTTCGCGGGAGATATTGGCACAAAACAGCTCAAGGACTTTCTGGAGGTTCGCATGCTCCAGGGTCTCTTTGGGCCCTGTGCAGTTGCAGGGTTGGTCACAGGGGATCAGCCAACCGTTCCGAGCGTGACCGCTGTAGTGCATGACCGCCACTGATGTGTTTCTGGTGATCCCAAGGCCAGCCTGTTCAGCTTGGTGATAAATCATCTCTGCAGTGCGGATATTCTGTGCCGAGTGCACGTACCATCCGTCAGACTGGCAGTGTTTGCGCAAACCTCGGGAGTCATTGACAGCCCCCTTCAAAGTCCATCGGCAACTGCATTCGCCACAGGAGCGATACGCATCGTTGCCGAGGGTCAAGAGCACGCGCTCGTCGCTTGCCATGGCCCAGATACAGAGAATGTTTCGCCAATATATTGCCAGGAAAAGGGTGCCCAAGATGGGAAAATGATAGATCCCCTTAAAATACCTCCAGCAATCCTAGACTGCGATTTGCAAGTCCGTTTCCGCGTTCCCGTTCCCCGCGCGCACTTCACGGTTGTTGCTTTTGATGCCATTGTTGAAAGATGTTGAAAATAACTTGCTGGATGGCAAGGGCCCATCCACCTGAGTTTCTGATGTCAAGCCGTTTGCGTGGGTCCTGTGACACTAGAAGGATTTGAGCCACGCACAGGAAGCAAAGAGACATGACATTTCTTCATGATACATGGACCAAACTGGGACAGGCACCAGCAAAGCGTAGCCTCAAATGCTTCAGTTCAACAACCATTTCGACAACGCCGCAACATGTTCCCGACTTCCCCTCAAGCAAAGCCAGGCCGGGTAGACTTCTGGTACCAACCCCTCCGCCAGGATTCTTCGGGGTCTAGCCTTCCAAGCGACACCTTTCTCTCGGCCTTTCTCCTCCTCTCGATCTCGCCTTGGATCACCAGCTTTTTGGGCGATGTGGCACCCCATCGTCCAGCGCCATGGCATTAAGAACTCTTGCAGGTTCTGTTGACTGATGCTTTGTATGGAATGAGGGAAGGCGAGGAACCGCTTAGTATTGAAACCAAGGAACACCACTATAGATACCTGAGAGCATCCATTCCCTCACGGGTGGGACCGGTCAGTCTTTTCTCGGATTGGTGTGGGGATAGTGAAGGTCGATTGAACATCACACTCAAACAGCGTGGTTTCCAGGGGAAACTGCTGGACTGGGGGAAGGTCTGTCCTGGTCTCCAAGGCGGTGGGGGAAGCCGAAGCTTTCTCTATCGCTGGGCGCTTCAACCTGGATCCAAAGTGCACAAAAGGTCGAGATTGCATGCACAAAATATGAATTGCCTACCTACCCAAACAGGCAGGAAACAGGCCAGCCTGAAAACAAGATATACATTATAATGCAGGAAACACTCATGTAGGAAGTTGTGGGATGCTACACGACAAAAAAGGTTTGCCGCTGAAAAGCACTGCTAGAGGGCCTGCCCAGGTACGTTCGAGCCCACCGCCACGATAAAATGAAGTGAGCAAACTACATCTGTCGCTGCAGTGATGCTTTCGGCCATGCTTAGCAAAGGTGAAGCTGCCAAAAATGTATTCAAAGTATACAAGAAGTCTGTTCCTCACTCACTAGATGAGCACAACACACTGTATACAAGAATGCAAGGTCGTTGGTACGCACACTACCCAAAATAGAGCAACATTGAAGCAGTGGCAAAAGAATGCAAGAACCGTGCTACTTCAATATTTGCAGCAAATTTACGGATCCTGAAAACAAAATTTGCATAATTAGATCGGTACAAGCGCGTACAAGGTCATATCATATCTATGAACCGTAGATCTTATCCCGTCTTCCTGCAAATCCCCAAATCCTTTCCATGCTTTTTGCACCACACATGCCCAAACACAGCCACGAATCAATTTATCTGGGTGGTACGACTTGTGAGCGCACACGTCCGCTGGCACTTTGCACATGCCCGTTGCCGTTTGCCACAGGGTGTGCAATCGGAATTGAAACTACGCCTTCTTGAAAAAGAGCCTTCCAAGCTACAGTAAAGGAAACAAAGATCACCTTTGAGGGAGGGACATGTGCAAGGAGATAAAATTTGAACAACCTTGGGCTGAAGGCAAACATCGGGCAATCCAAATGTTGATGAAAGCTAGTGGAAGGGAAACTGAACCGATGTGCACATCACACTAATACACCAGCTGACAAAACTGATACAGTACTAAGAACATATATAGGTTTCCTCTCAAAATATCAAGCATACCACTCTTTGGCATACAATAGTGAACCTCTGGATACCTCTGGAAAGTAAACAAACGTCTCCTGAGCAAACCGAACACAATTATATATCGCAAACAACTTTGATCTCAATACCTAACATCTTTGTGACGCTGCAGCAGTAAACCTTTGCGGCCACCAACAAAATGACAGCAAGAAAACACAACATTGATTCACTATGAGGACACCTTTCCCGGGGCAAAGTGATTTTGTTTCAGATATTGTTTGGTATGAATCTCTTCCTCATGTTGACTCATGTCTTCTTGAATCTGTCCGTTTCGTTACAAGCATCTATCTGAGGTGCCACACAAATTCAACCACCCTCAACATAATCAACTTCCTTTGTGAGACCCTTAGGCCCTATAGTCGTAACCAATTCTGAAGAAAAAAACAAGAAATATACACACATCGCGAAGGGTACCCCTTTGACAATTGTGAGGGCAATCTCCGGCAGAGCCGGTCGGCAGGCGGTGCCGTGTGATGACTTGTCAGGTGAGGAAGGGTGACGTGATGATGTTTGAGTGCACAAAGGTGCATCATCGCGGTGATTGGTCATGTGAAGTGAAATGTGGTAATTGACGTCATGTAGTGTAATTAGGGTGACCTTGGAAGAATGCTGTTGGATGGTGTCACCACGTTGTTCCACAGCAAGACCAGACGTGACCAGACTTTTGGGGAGCAGAAAGGCTGAACTCAAAGCACAAACTGCAACTTGCTCCGCCGCACCAAGACTCTGTTTTCAAAATCCATTCAGTGCCGCCCTGCAACAAAAATGCGCCGCGACTTGCAGCTTTCGCGCTGTGGAGGTTCCGCGCCGAAATATCCGGAGCTCAAATTGACTAAAGAAGTCATGTGTGCTTGTTGCTGGAAGATCTGAAAGTCTCACACTTATCCTCTGCGATTCGGGTTGGTGTACGGTATATACGTCTACATATACATGTCTGTACTTACGGTTCTTCTTCCCCAAAGAAGCAACAGCGACCCGCAAAAATGTCCTTTGAACCAGTTTTTGAGGCACCTTCCAGTTTCCAATTTGACCGGAAACCTCCTCGATGCCAAAACTGCACTGTGCGCGGGAAAAATCACATCCCTGCAGCTCATGAAATGTCAAGAGCTGCAAAAAAAACAGGATCTACATATTCGCGGGTCCTGTTGGTCTAGGTTGTAAATGGTTATGGGGTATAGTCAGGTAATCGTCTCAAAACTGGATGGCCCAGAGTACCCTCGTCCACCGATTCAATTTTCTAGCGCTTGAAGAGCCACACAAACTACTCAATGTCAGACGCAATAGGGTCGCCACTAAATGGCGCCGCCCAGCAATCAGCCACAAAAGGAACTGGCCAAGCTGCATCTGCTGCAGTGTTGCTTTGGGCCTAACAGGGTGAAACTGCCAAAGAGGCGCTCAAAGCAAGGACTTCTGCTCCTCACGCAGGATTGGAATCTGGAGCGGGGTCCAACTGGCACACCCTCCAACATAGGAAAATTGAAGGAGATGGGAGGGACGTGTAAGATCCTGAAAAACAGTAGACAGTAGATCTGTGGATATCTGTGGATATATGATCCATAGATCGTACCATCTCCCCGGCCCCGCCAACAGATGTGTTCCAAATGCTTTTCACACCACGCATCGCTGAATACAAACATACCGTGCTGAGCTACAGCCCAGCTCGTTGGCCCCGTCCGGAGTATTAGGCTTCAATTGGGAGTAATAGGCGCCCTGGTGGCTCTAAATGATACACTATATAAATGTTTTCACAAACCAACATTAACATGTTCAGAAGAATTTCAAATTACTTACACCACCGTAGACCCCAAACAGCTTGTGTTTTTTCAAAATCGAAACTAGAGCTTGCGACGTCCAGAGCTGGGAGACAAAGGATTGCAAGGCAGAGGCGGCACAGCAGCCCAGAGCTGGGAGACAAATGTAAAGGATTGCAAGGCAGAGACGGACACAGCAGTACAGAGCGGGCGGACACATCTTAAGAAAGAATTGAGAAGCCCTAACAGTAAACCTTTTGGGGAATTGTTCTTCAAGTGCGAACATGATGCTGGTCATGCTGCTCAATCAGCGGGGAGCTGACCACGTGAGGACAAGATAAAAGCATGAGGAGCGAAGGGTGTGACATGAAATTGATTTTTGGTGCCTGACGTATGCCCTCCGTCCCAACTGAACAGAGAGATCGCTGCCACGCCGCCGAAATCCAATCCAGTCATGCATACAACGCTTGCCCGAAAAGGAAAACAAAGCTGAGAGAGTTACACAGTGTGGCAGGAATGCAATCCCGGAGACAGTCACGCACCCCTTTCAAAGGAGCAAGAACCTTTCACAGGTGAACCTGTTCCAGCGGACAGGGCAGAAAACAGCAGTGCAGGCAACAAAAACCTGAAAGACAAAAAGAAAGAAATCACATGGGAGCCAAATGAATAGAAATGCTACATGGCCAGCGGAAAAGGGCGGCAGCACCAGTGACAGACCCGGGAAACAAATGAATAGACATGCTGCATGGCCAACGGACAAGGGCGGACACCAGCAGTGACAGACCTGGAAAACAAATGAATAGAAATGTTGCATCGCCAGCGGAAAAGGGTGGACACCAACAGTGACAGACCTGGGAGACTAATGAATAGACATGCTGCATGGCGGACGGAAAAGGGCGGACACCAGCAGTGACAGACCTGGGAGACAAATGAA